CTTCTGCCTGAGATCTAACCTCAATTTCCCTCTTTCAATTTGTGCCCATTGCCCCTTGTCCTGTCCCTGCAGCTCCTAACACAGATCCCTCTGCAGCTTCCCTGGAGCCCCTTCAGCTCCTGCAAGGTGCTCTGAGAAATCACATTAAACAATCACTTAACTCCTTCATTGTTTTAGTGATACATTGGCTAAGAACAACATAACTAAGCAAATCATTCCTCCATTATCAAGACTCCCTTGTGCTTGCAACTCACTGTACAATCCGATCTGCACGTTCCAATAACAGACACTGATTATTAGCACTGTTAAAATGAACATATTGTTATCCCAGGCAGAGTGCTCCTGTTCCTGTCAGGCTCACGGACCAGCTATGCACCACAAAGGGACCTCATTCAGCTCCTGCTACCCAGCAGTGTCCTGGGAAGAACCAGATGAGCAGCCTAGAGCTCATCCCTCCTGCTGCCAGTTCTGTGGGCACTGGGTGCACGGATGGAGATGTGCAACTAGAAATAGCAGCACTTTGCTTTGAACTCCCATGGCACTTAGAGAGGCTCAGGAATTAAATCCCACCACACCCATGTGGGTGGAAGAAGTCTAAGTGTATGAAAATTCCTCAACTGAACCTACCTGAAAAGGTAGGATAACCTAAAAGAAGGTTTTATACAAGGTTGTGCCTGACCTATTCATCAAACCAGTTTAGCAAAGAGAGGCAAACCCAGACTGGATCCAGGGATCACACACAGGAATAAACTGATGCACCCAGGTCAGATCAATAACAGAACACAGATGTTTGTAATGCACAGAAGTCTCTACATTACCTTTCTGGAAACACATATCCCTGAAAATTTCTGTCCATGTTCTATGGCTTAGAAATCTATTGCATTAGTTGTTCACTTAATCTCTTACCTAAAATAGCTAATGTTTACTTAAATAGCCTTTTCTTTTTAACTCTTATCCACCTCCTGTTTATGTAAACTTGAGATTTATGTACATATATAGTATATTTATGTATACTTCATTTTTCCTTCCAAATCCAATAGCATTTAGATAGAAAATCTACTGAAAAAAAGTAGTTTCTTCTCTACAGGCTGAAATATAAAACCAGTTTTCTATTATTCAGGAAAGTAAAGAACTTGAAGGAGCTGATTTGAGGCACCTACTGATGTTGCTGGGGCACAACAGCAGGAACAGAGAGGTGCCTGGATGGACCTACCAGTGCTTCTTGCCCCTGGAAAAGAGGCAGGAGGAGAAAGGACAAGAAGCTCTCTGTCCCGTCTCCTCCAGAACTGAGGAATGCAAGTAAATCTCTGCAGGAGGACGAGTGGAGAAGAAAGGTTTCCTGCCAAAGGCAGTAGCATTTTTGACCACACTAACAGCCAAGATCCTCCAGAGTGTACCACAGCCTCCAGCCCTGGTGCTTGGCCCTTCACTACACACAACCTGCACATCATGAGATCTGCTTGGTGACAAGTTCACACAAGGGGGGATAAAGAAATCAACAGGACATCCCTGAGGCTTCCAGGGAAGATGGGGTGTCAGTCAGCCCTCATGGAGTCAGGATAGCCCAACAGGGACACAGCAAGATGCTGTGTGACACTGATGCTGTTAAACAGACCAAGCACCGGCATTTCCAGGGAGAACAGCAAGACTCAAGGGACACTTTTCAGGGAAAAATAAAATCAGGGCTTTGGAAAGAGGAGCAGTGTATCCATCAAGTCTGGAGAAAGAAGAGCTGCTCTCCTGGGGGAGCAAGGAAGCAGTGTGTGAGAGAAGTCGCAGGCTGGCTGTAACCTCTCGGTGGTGGCAGGAGGGAAGGTGGTGCAGGACATCAGGCTAAGTGTGGCTCAGGACTGAGCTCTGTGGAGCCCATGATGCCATCTCTGGTCTGTGGTAAGCCTGAGGGACTGCACCCACCTGCTGACCAGCCTGGCACACTTCTCTGGGTTTCTCCTACTTCTCCTGAGCCACCTTCATGTTCTTGAGCTCTACTACCATCCTGTGGCAGTGAGTCCAGCCTTACTACATGTGGCATGAAAAAAGGCTTTATTTTAAACCTGACCGTTTCATAGATACCCTTCAGCTCTCATTTTCAGATGCATAATCTCCATTCTGAACTTTACAGAGCTTTGTCCTAGTGTTACTGAGTTGGTGCTGCTTCATTTCTCCTGGTTTGCAGACTTGGTTTCCCTTCACCTTTCCTAGCTCTACTCATTTTTTTTTCCTGAGAAGGGAAACTAACTGCTGCATAAAAAGCACTAAAAAAGGTCTGGGTTACACTTACTGATTTAAAGACATAACAATAATTCATTCTGTTCTTACCCTAACCTTTGCCTTCGATTGTCGCTGCATATTCAAGGTGTCCAATCGTCCAGAAGGTTTAAGATCTGTTTTCTGAGCAAGGATTTGGAGTTCATTAATGTTAATGTATTGTTAGGGACCCTTTCCTTCTAATGAGCTGCTTCATTTGACACAGATACCACTTGATAAAATCATAGAATCACAGAATCTGAGGGGTTGCAATGGACCTTAGAGATCAACCAGGTTGCTCAAGGCTCATCCAACCTGGCTGTGAACACTGCCTCCCTGGGCAACCTGGGACAGTGTCTCACCACCCTCACAGGGAAAACTTCTGCCTAACATCTAACCTACATTTCCCTCCTTCAATTTGTCCCCACCCCATTGCCTCTTGTCCCTGCAGCTCCTAACACAGATCTCTCTGCAGTTTCGTTGTAATCCCTGATCCTCCCACAGATCTGTTGTGGGTTTGTGTGTGGTTCGGGTGAGATTTTAAACTGGTTTTCAGTGGATAGAACACTAAGCATTAAAATACCAACTTTCTGATCTGAAACTCAGACACTTTGCATGTGTTAAATAGTGTGGGCTAATGCCTGATTTAAAGAGCAACTGAATTAGTGCCAGCACTTTCGTTGTAATCCCTGATCCTCCCACAGATCTGTTGTGGGTTTGTGTGTGGTTCGGGTGAGATTTTAAACTGGTTTTCAGTGGATAGAACACTAAGCATTAAAATACCAACTTTCTGATCTGAAACTCAGACACTTTGCATGTGTTAAATAGTGTGGGCTAATGCCTGATTTAAAGAGCAACTGAATTAGTGCCAGCACTCCACTGCTGGGCCACTGATTCGCTTTCTACGTTGATGCTATTTCAGATTTGACTAGGAAGAAAACAGCAATGTCAAAGCTTTCATCACTGAGCAAATGAATGCTGTTTGCCTATCTGTGCCCTCTCAAATGTTCTTCTTAGCCACACACTTCAGAAGCTGATATGGAGGAAAGTTTCTCTCCCAACACCCCATTATGATTTCAAAGAGTACAACCATCAACTTGCTCCACTTTGGGCTAGGAGATTTTCAGGGAAGGGTCATCTGCACACCAAAGTGTGTTGGAAGTCGATTGGTTTGTTCCCAGAACTCAGACACTCAGACTGCTTTGAAATAACTGGGAGCTGGAAAAACAGCCAGAATATTTCACAAGCAAATGAGTCTAACAAGAATCCTATTTTGTTTTTATAATTCCTGCATTCAGCACAGCTAGAACAAGCAGCTTTCTCAAAACAGGGCAAGAGCTTTATCTTCCCAGGGAGGCTGTGGCTGCCCCAGCCCTGGCAGTATTCACAGCCAGGTTGGCTGAGCCTTGAGCAACCTGCTCTGGTGGGAGGTGTCCCTGCCCAGGGCAGGGGTTGGGGCTGGGTGAGCTCTTAAGGTCCATTCCAACCCCTAAATTCTGTGATTCTATGATCATTTACTATGATGCAGATGTGATTCACCAAACCAGTGGTCAATTAAATATCAAGGTAATAACTTTGAGCAGAAATTTACAGACACAACAGTAGGAGACACAGCAAAACAGAAGTAACTTCATAACTTTTGAGGGTTTGTTTGTTTGTTTGGGGAGTTGGTTCTCTTTTGTTTGTTTGCTTTAAATTAGTTCTGTTAAGTCCTTATCTCTGCAAAGTGCTATATCCTGAAACCCACTGCTGGAGTCTCCTCCAGTGTCAGCCTCTCCATGGTTTTGAGTGAGAGACCCTGAACCAAAGGGCCACAGGTCTGTGTGTGTGCACACACAGAAACACAGACGTGTGCACTGACAGGCACAGACACACAGGCACTCACTCTGTTCACACACTCCACAGATGTGAGTCAGATCCAGACCAGAAGGTGCCCAGACACACCAGCCTGGGTTTGGTTTTTGGCTCAAGTGCTCAGCTTGTAATCAGTAAAGCTCAATTCTGAACCATTCTGCTACACCCAGAGAAAACTATTTTAAGTACTTTAATAAAAAGTTCCTGCACATGTCATGAGTTTGTTTTCTTAGTTTAATATGAGCACACAGTATCCCTCTCTTTCTGAAGGTCAAGATGACGCCCTGCTCTCCCTGGAAAGTTACCTGTATTAGAATCATAGAATCAACCAGGTTGGAAAAGACCTCCAAGATCATCAAGTCCAACCCTACCGTGGTCACTAGTGCCACATCCAGTCTCATCTTGAAAACCTCCAGGGATGGTGAATCCACCACCTCCCTGGGCAGCACATTCCAATGCCTGATCACTCTCCCTGTAAAAATCTCTTCCTAATATCTAACCTAAACGTGTCCTGCTCATCTTCCTGGAAAATCACATAATCATAGAATTTTAAGGGTTGGAATAGACCTTAGAGATGATCCAGCCCCAACCCCTGCCCTGGGCAGGGATACCTCCCACCAGAGCAGGTTGCTCAAGGCTCATCCAACCTGGGTTGGATGTGTGCATGGTCTGTTTAATACCATCAGTGTCACACAGCATCTTGCTGTGTCCCTGTTGGGCTGTCCTGACTCCACGAGGGCTGACTGACACCCTCATCTTCTCTGGAAACCACAAGGATGTCCTATTGCAACTTCAAGCTTCATATGTAGCTTAGTTCATATGTGACTTCATTTATGTACAGTCACATTACACGAGTTCATATGTAATTTTGGTTGCCCATTTCAAATTTGAAGTCACCAAAAGCACTTCCACTCAGAATTTATTCCCCTTTTCCACCTGCAATTTCCTTTTGAAGACTATTTGTTCAGGAGGAGGAAAGAAGAAACATCTGTAGCCTGTTCACTCCATCCTCAGATGGTTCACAGGTGGGTGACACAGGGAAATAATCAAGGACTCCTGTTAGAGCCTAACTTGTGTAGGAGCTCGTGAGGAAGAAACAGCGCAGCCAACCGCATTGGAACACTTGGGGTTTTTTCCTCACTAAAAAGGCCCAGAGCTCCCCCACAGAACATGCTGCTCTGACCACGTGGTGAGCTTTCCCAGCTGGGGCTGCAGCTCAGTGCCTGGACCAGAGACCTCTCTGTGCTCCAGAGAGGCTCTCAGTGCTCCATGTGCTGCCTCTCAGCACCTCAGCACAAGGACCAGCAACCTGCAGAACAGCTTTCACCCCACTCCCCTGCAATCCCCTCCTCCCAGGTCCAACAGGAACCAGGGAAAATGAAGTTCTTTACCTAGGTGTAACATTCAGTGTCTCACCACCCTCACAGGGAAAACTTCTGCCTAACATCTAACCTAAATTTCCTCTCTCAGTTTGTACCCAGGCCCCTCTTCAGAGCACAGTATCATTTTCCAGTCCCTTTTGAAGATCTGGCTGGAGCAGAAGTGACCCAAGCCATTTTTTCCTTTGCCTCCCTCCACCCACAATCCTACAGAACACATGGATTTACCTCCAGCCCCTTCAGCCAGGCATGCCCTGATTTATAACCCTCTTACCACTCCTATTTAATCTTTCCTTGGGACTGTGCACAGAGCTACAGCAAGTCATGCAGACCACTAATCTCTGCAAGGAATGCAGGAATAACCAGGAAATAAATCTGAATGGATTTGGGACAAGCAATAGCCACAAGGTATCTATCTGCAAGGAGTTAAACACACCATCCTGTTCCCTACAAACTGCCTTCGCACAATGTCTATTTCCATAGGATTAGAGTTGGATAGCGCAGAACTACGAGTTATTTTCTGTTTGTTTCAGCTGGTGGGGGGTGGATTTTTCTTCCCAAGTTGCAAAAGCAGATGAAGAAATGGTAATATTAGAAACCTGACATTTTTTGCGCTCGTTCCTTTCCTGCTTGCCATATTTTTTTATACCAAATGGGATTCCTTGGATGGCTATGATGATCTGCTCTGGTGCATCATTTTACCCAAAGGTTTTTCCTATCACAGAATCATAGGATTTTAAGGGTTGGGATGGAGCTTAGAGATGACCCAGCCCCAACCCCTGCCCTGGGCAGGGACACCTCCCACCAGAGCAGGTTGCTCAAGGCTCAGCCAACCTGGCTGTGAACTACCAAATGGGATTCCTTGGATGGCTATGATGATCTGCTCTGGTGCATCATTTTACCCAAAGGTTTTTCCTATCACAGAATCATAGGATTTTAAGGGTTGGGATGGAGCTTAGAGATGACCCAGCCCCAACCCCTGCCCTGGGCAGGGACACCTCCCACCAGAGCAGGTTGCTCAAGGCTCAGCCAACCTGGCTGTGAACACTGCCAGGCTTGGGGCAGCCACAGCCTCCCTGGGCAACCTGGGACAGTGTCTCACCACCCTCACAGGGGAAACTTCTGCCTAAGATCTAACCTCAATTTCCCTCTTTCAATTTGTGCCCATTGCCCCTTGTCCTGTCCCTGCAGTTCCTAACACAGATCCCTCTGCAGCTTCCCTGGAGCCCCTTCAGCTCCTGCAAGGTGCTCTGAGGTCTCCACACAACCTTCTCTTCTCCAGCCTCAACAGCCCCAACATCCTCAGCCTGTCCTCACAGGGGAGGTCTCAAGACCTAGCATCACACAAAGCAGGAGAGCATCATCCAAATTCTGCAGCACACTTAATTGGCAACAAATTCTTAATACCTTATATAACATTCTTAGCATCTACCTCTGTGCTGCTTACTTGTGTTCAGAGGAACCAAGAAGTTTCACAGCCAATGCACACAAGCTTGAAAACATATGCCAGCTAAAGATAGTCATCTGATCTTTGCAGCACTCTGTGCATGTAGGCACTGCACTTTCTCAGAAAAAGCAACAGAACTTACCCTCATCAGTAGGGTTGAACCCACAGATATCACAGATACACCGAACCCACTTATTCATCTCCTCCTCGCTGTCTGCTACCAAGTAGAAAACTCTGTCTATAGTGTTGATATCAAAAATATAGCTGTTTTCAAACTCTTTCTTGTTAAAGGTTAATCCAGCATCCACTTGTTGACAGAGATTTAAGTCAATAATACGGATAGGCTTCTTGGCATGGTCATTTTTGTAGTATTCCAGTACATCTGGGTCTCCTGTTAAACGGCCGCTCCGAAGCACAAACCACCTTCTCTTCCATGCCTGAAATCAGAGAGAGAAAACAGGAAGAAAAATTAGCAGGCAGAAATCAGCCTTTAAGACTGTTACCTTTTGTTTAGGGTTTCAGCCTGGGTTGAGCCAGGCACTAATAATTAGTTCAGTTATGATTACACATCAGATACCTACACTGAACAATCTGTTGAGGTACTGTTACAGCACTGGACATGAGGATGAGGGAATTGGTATTTTAAAGGTTATTTCTTGGCTTTGTTCACAACAAGTGGATATATAAATGAAATCACTGTTCACAAAAGGAGAAACCTATGAATCCACTAACAAAAAACAAGGGGGGGGGAGGGAAAGGCACACAGAAAGCTTCTGCAGAAAGCTCTCAAAGGCATGGGGAAGACAAAACACATCTCTAAGGGCTCCATAGTGTTTTGCTTCCAATATCTGTTGCATTTTAACTGAATTTCTCGCTGACACTCAACACTAGTGACCTGCACTTAAAGAACAGACGAGGCTCACATCACACACTCTCCTCAGTGCTGGGGGAACTCTGCACTCACACCCTCACAACATTCCTACAGCAATGCCTCTCAGAGGAAGAGAAAGATTGGGTTTGAAGCCATTAGAGAAACAGGGATGGAGAGAATGACCAAATGTTATCATTTTACCACAGAACATCAGCCTTTGTGGCAGGTACATCCACAGAAGAAATACATCAGACAGTCTGACACTGTGCTCATTATACCAGCCCTCCTGATGCTGCAGAGGGACAGAAGCTGCTCTAAGAGAAAAGCACAACCAAAATGCCTCTAACCCCCAGCTACCTTCCATTCCCATGGATCTCCATCACCTGCTGTAATTCCCATTAAAGGTGTTAATCAGAACAAGGAACCAAGGTTTGCATACAGCTCTCCTGGTCTTTCCAACAGCATCTTTACTGCCCCACTTGATGCATTTTTGTTCCTCAGCTCTAGCAGCAATACAACACACTAAGTGCCTTTATATGCCCAGATGGCAAGACAATGGGCACAGCAAAGGAAACCAGACACACTGCCACTGCCCACAGAATCACAGAATCACAGAATTTAAGGGTTAGAATGGACCTTACAGACCATTCAGTCCCAACACCCTGCCCTGAGCAGAGACATCTCCTCACCAGAGAAGGTTGCTCAAGGCTCATCCAACACAGAGATCCCTCTGCAGCTTCCCTGGAGCCCCTTCAGCTCCTGGAAGGTGCTCTGAGGTCTCCACACAACCTTCTCTTCTCCAGCCTCAACAGCCCCAACTCCCTCACCCTGTCCTCATAGGGGAGATGCTCCAGTGCTCTTAGCAACTTGGTGACCTCCTCTGGACTTGCTCCAACAGTTCCATGTCCTCTTCATGTTGAGGCACCAGAACTGTGTGCAGTATTCCAGGTGGGTCTCACCAGAGCAGAGCAGAGGGGCAGAATCACCTCCCTGGACCTGCTGCCCACACTGCTGTGGATGCAGCCCAGGTCTGGGTTGGTCTCTGGGCTGAGCTCACACTGCAGCTCATGGGGAGCTTCTCATGAGAAGAGCTGCACTGCTCTCATAGTCAGAATCCTGAAAGCAGAGCCCAGACACTGTGGGGAGTCATTGCTGTTTCACCCACTTGGCCTTATACTTTTCAGCAAAGTTGGAGACTGAGGGAAATCAGTGCAGTAGCTAAGGCACTGCAGGTTACACTGCAGACTCACCCTGTGCCCCAGGGCATCCACTTACACCTTCCTTAGGCTCTTCAGAGAAGGTTCTCAGCAAGTCCATTGGAAGATCAAAAAACCCAACATGTACCAGGCGAGAGCATTTTCCTTTTGGCCAGCCCTGGCTGCATGCTAAGCAAGGAGAGGACTGAAATCAGCAAGAATGGCCCTAGAACAGGTCAAGATGTGTGATGTCCTTTACACACTGGGACGCAGCTTTGAGAACAAGAGTTTCTTACTATGTATTAGGAAAAGATTCAGAGCCGTTTTTGTGAGGCTTCCATCTCATTTTCACACAGCTGTTACCTTCGAACAGAGCAGTGAAGAACCACATAAAGGACAAAGAGCAAGAACTGCACTGCCATCGCCCAGCGCTGAACCAGCCTCGCTCTGGAGGCTCACAAAACCTTCTTTGTGGACTTGCCATGCCTTTTTGGGGTATCGAGCTAAGAAAGCTAGTATGAAAAGATAATACAGAACACAGGAGAAAGGGGGAAATGCCAGACAGCTAATTAAGGCTTGTGATCCATTCTCCAACTACCAACCCTCTACAAGTGATTTGATTTTAAGATAATGTCTGTGCTTCACAAAACAAGTATATTTATTGTAGTTCTGATCACAGAACTGCCTTTAAAGGCTGAACTGTGAGAATCAGGTCAGTCTCAGGCAGCTCTTCTCATGGCAGCAGTAAGTTCAACTGGGAAGAACATTAGAACACAAGAGACCTAACAGATGAAACCTCTTCAGTTTAGGCTCCAAATGTGAGTCTGTTCTAGCAGCACAGCTGGCTAAGCTCTGCTTAACAGCCACCCAAAAACACGAGCAAAATTTGTTTTGTTTCCTGTTTCCAAATCAAGTGACAGCTTAGATGCTGGGATAACAGGAAACTTGGGTAGCAGAGGCTCTCCCTCCAGGCAAGGTTGATCACAGATAACTGTTCCAACCCAACTGCAGAACTCTGTTGCTTCAGAAAGCTGTTTTATCTCTGACCTCAGCCTTCAGCCATCAGATGAAATTTTCTAAGCTGAAGTCAGGAGGAAAGAGATTGGAGATAGGAGAAGGACAAGAGCAATTGAGAAGCAAATGTGCTTTGTCTCACAATTTTTGCAACAAGAAGACAGCATGGAACAACCTCATCAGCTGCATCAGCCAGGCAGGACTCCTCTGGAATCGACTTCCAGCAACCCTGACAATCTCTGCTGAGCATTAGGACTATTAGGAAATAGGACTCTAAACCCCAGAATACCAACCAGTTAAAGAGAAACTCCTTTCAGCCCTTCAGGCTACAAAACAGTAACGACAAAATACTTAAAACACTGAATTTAGCACACTAGCACCTGCCACTATTTGGGATGAGTTTTCACAGAGTGTATATGTGAACATTTATTTCAGTCCTATAATGAGTCATGCTCACTGAAACTGGAACAGATTATATTCAAAAACAAAAGCAATTCCATAAACTACACACTAATCAGGCAGATACAAAGGTTCTCTGGATAACAGGACAAAGCACAATTTAGCAGCAGAATAAAGCTTAAAGCTAGACAAGCTCCCTGACATCAGCACCCTTGCTAATCAGGGCACAAAAGCGTCTCTATATTTTGTCAAAGTGCAAAATGAGCTCACATAAATCACTCTTTGTTATTTGAAAATATCTGGGATTCTTAAGGCTTGATCTATTTTTAACGTCTCAGCGCTGTGTGCTGTGCAGTGTCTCGCTGAAGGACAGCACAGTGTGCAGAGGTGCAAGGAAGAGCTCGCTCAGTGGCAGCTTTCCCAAGGGAACTCACTAAAGTAGAGGCTGCACTAGTGCAAATACCTATTTATGCAAGTTTTAGCCTTTTTATATAGTTTCATAGTATGTTAAGGGGTTGGAATGGACCGTACAGATCATCTAGTCCCAAACCCTGCCCTGGGCAGGGACACCTCCCACCAGAGCAGGTTGCTCAAGGCTCAGCCAACCTGGCTGTGAACACTGCCAGGGTTGGGGCAGCCACAGCCTCCCTGGGCAACCTGGGACAGGGTCTCACC